ATAGGCCCTGGGAAACTAAGAGTTTGCATGACTCGCTTTATTGTGGTGGCCTGGTACTGAATTTGCAGTATCTCTGCGGAATGCCTGTAGAAAGGCCTTCATAACTCAGGTTATAAAGAAATTCTTTTATTATTTCTTTTAGTACTTACTATTTTTATAGCTAAATATTTGGTCCATTTACATTTTATCCTCAAGGAAAGTGTGAAAATTAGGTATTATTTTTCTCCCCAGTTATCTAGTCAGTTGTTTTAAAACCATTTACTTACTTGTTCATTTCCCCCCCTATTGATTGACTGTCATTATTAAATTCCAATATGTATTGGGGTTTATTTCTGTAATTTTATTCCATTTTTGATTTATCTTTTTTATATGCTAATATGAACAATTCATATAGTAATACCATTCTATTTTAATTAGTATAGCTTAACAATGTTTAAAAATAATCTATGGCTAGTTATTTCTTTATTTTTCTTGTCAATTTCAAACATTTTTTTGGTCAATTTAATTATCTATATAAAATTTAGTGTTAGTATTTCTAATTTAAAAACTTGGTACTTTTATTTTAATCATATTAAGCTTTTATGTTAATTTAGAAATGGATACATAGTTATGAAATTTAATTCTTTAAAAATCTAAAAACATAGTATGCCCTTCTGTTTGTTCCAAGTTTTCCTTTGTGAGAGCTTAAAATATATTTCTTCATATATATCTTGCATATTTTTGTTCCTAGGAATCTTATCTTTTCTTCTTTCCTCTGTTGTAACTGGTGTCCTTATTTCTTCATTTGTTTCTTAACTGGTTATTTATATATGCATTTAAGTTATTTATATCTATATATTGATTTCTTGGAAACATGCTATTTATAAAAATTTAAAAGTATATGCCTATTATAATATAGGGTAGTGTTGCACAGTGAGGAGTCTGAGGTCTATGAACGTGGCTGCACCATTGATTAGCCCTGTGGCAGTAGACAAGGTACTTAATCTTTATAAGCCAGTTTCCTCATGTATCAAATGGGATAATATTATAATAGTACCTACCTCATAAGGATTGAAAAGATAAAGCACAAAGACACTTAAAGGGTTCCTGGAATGTAGTGAGCAGTTTGTGCTCGTACATTAAAGCTTAAATCTAGTGCGTGGGAGTCAGATGGAGAACAGATGTCAACCTTCCCAACCATCCCCTCCAGCCACACTCCTCACTTCCTAAACCACAGCGCTGGGTTGAACTGAGGGCTGCAGAGTGGGTGGAGGAATTAGGGGAATGGAGACATAAGGCTAGAGGCCCAATTACACCTTTTTGTTGTAGGAAAGGAATAAAATGATTTAGTGATTTGCATTTGGGGTGTCCAAGGAGATTGGAGGAGGAGAAATAGTGGAAGTGAACAGAGCACTTTTTCAAATTGCCACCTTAAATTGAAAGGATCTTGATAGCTTATAGGCCATTTATACATATTTGTATCATAAACCCATCTTGGCAGCAGCTCACTCCATCTATGAGAGAAACTTGAAATCACATGGAGTAAATGGGTATTGGGGAAGCCAGGTTCAGATCTGCTGACCTATGTTGATGCTCATTCCTCTTCATTTCTCTTTCCTTATTTATTCCCATCTCAGCCTAAGTACTAAATTGTCAGCAGAAAATACAGAGGACAAACTGGAAGAAGGGGTAACTAGAAGAATTAAAATATTTTGAGAAGAGAGAGCTTAAGAGAGCTTGGGAGCTGCAATAAAGAATACTATTTGCTGAATATACCATGTGCAAAAATTCCTGGGAACTATGTTAGGAATAATATGATAACATCCTATTAGCCATGTCTTAAATGTCTGTTGTGTGCTGCCTGTTTTATGTGCATTTTTTCTTTTAATCTTCCAAGGCAGGTGTTACTATGCCAATCACAGTGTGTCTCTAGAAAGCTAGCCTCAGTCTTCTTGGAGCTTAATATCAATATACTAATTAAAGAATACTTTTAAAACACACCTCAGCCATGGACATAGGAGCTCCTGATCATGGCAGAACTGGGAAGGAATTGTGAAGAAGTCAGCCATAGCTTCCTGTAATGTGATGTGAGCAATGAAAGGAGGGAAAGAAACAGGATGGGTAAGTTAATGGGCAAGGAAGTCTTCCTGCAGCTGGAGTTAGGAATGCGGATGGAGTGTGGACTAAGCCAACTGCAGTGGAAAGGGAGCCCAGAGGAGGCTGCCTCTAAGTAGTAGGAAAATGCTCCATCAGCTACTTAGCCTTTTTTCCTCGTTGCTCCATTGCTTTTTTAAAGTGACAGTCACGAGGCTTCAGGATTCTTAAGTGGAAATGGTCTTGGCTCATTGGCCAACAGTCTAACATCAGTTCTAAAAAATTTGGTGGGATACAGCTGGTGGAAATTACCCAGTCCTTACTTCAGTGGGAATGTCCACGTGCTGCTTGGTTCTCTCCTGATCAAGCATCTCCCCCTCTCCATCTTTCGTCTGCATGTGTCTCTTCCTTTATCAGGTTTCATAAAAAAAAATAATAATAATAAAAAAATAATCACCAGGCTCATTGTACCCAAGTGGTCCAGGCATACCCCTGCTTAACCCAGCGCGGCTGGCTGCCCAAGATGAATGCAGGCTACTCAGATGGTTTATGAGAAGTGACACTTGCTTCCCAGCTTCTTGTATCTGCCACCAAGCAGTTAATGTGAAAGCCCACAGTGAACGTGACTGCTGGAAATACTGCTGGGCAGGGCAGGGCGCTGGTGCTTCATGAGCACGTGAGCAAGATGCTCAGAGGCAGCCCCAGACACCCCATGATTCCGGACTGCGGCAAATGGGTGTGGGAATGGAAAGAAGGGAGGGCCACTTCATTCCTGTCCTTGCTTCTCATCCGCCCCAGCATGTCATCCACGCGGGGGCCGGGTGAGGTCGCCCCAGGTCGCCCAAGAACCTGCAAATTCATCGCTGCCTTTCATCTTCATAACCTTCCGTCCAGAGGGGGACAGACTGGCCCTTCCCCTGCTGCTGCTAAGGCGGGTCCGACTTCGCCCCTACAAAGGCTCCGATTCCCCTTCCCGCCGCAGGGGTCCAGTCTTGGCTCATACTTCGCTTCTCACTGCTCGCTCTGCAGTCTGGGGCTGCGCGCAAGTCTCGCCAAGTTTCCCCATCCAGACCCGAGAGTCGGCTCCTTTCTAGGACAATGTGAACAAAGAGGATCAGGGAGAGGGGCCTGAGGGCAGTTGCAGGCGAATGGGAATGTGAGTGTGAGTGTGTGGTGGGGAACCTCCTCGGGGACCCGCGCAGGACGCACCTAGCCCAGCACCGCAGTGCCCCTTGCGGCTCCGGGAGGCGGGTTGCTTTGTCCTGGCCCGGCAGGGCGCGGAGGTCGTGGGTCGCAAGCAGAAATCCGAGGCCGGCTCTGGAGCCCAGGCTTCCACGTTGTCTTGCTGCCGTAGTGGGGACACTGGACTTGCTGCTTCTTATCCGAGCTCGCCCTGATTAGTTTGGTCTGGGGACAGCGGGACCCACTGGAGCGCTCCCTTCCCTGGCTCTCCGCTGACGCGTGTAGGTCCAATTCCGGGACGGAGGCGCGTGTTGGGCGCCCCCCCTCCCCCCCTGCCACCGCCTGCGTCGCAGCCCCCGGGACCCCGCTGGTGGGACCTGAACTGCACCCACCAGAGATGCCCGCCGGGAAGGCTGTCCAAACAGATCCGGAGGCCCCACAGGCGTGTGTGCGCATAACAGAGGTTGGGGTCTCGTCCGCTCGCTCACCTGCATTAGTTTGCCTGGCAGAAGAATGAAGGAGAAACTGTTATGTCCATTCAATGTCATTAAATCAGCACCCTTCCCTCTAACTCTAGCAACTAAGTTGTATTTTTCATGTAACATTAGAGTCCACGCGAAATTACTTTCCCACTCCTGCCTGAATCTTCATCACTGCGCCGAGCCAGGTTTCGGGGTCCGGGCTCCAGTTCCGCAGGAGAACTTGGGAGTCACAGGACTTGCATCCCCTGCCTCTCTCTGGGCGTCTTTGTAATGCGGGGTGGTCCCGGGTGGTCGCGCCCGGCTGGCCGCGGCGGGCCTGCCGCCGCGCCAGCCGCTGTGCGTTGGAAAGGGCAGGCGCTAGGACCACGGGACGCGCGGGCAGCACGGCGCTACCTTAAACCCGGCCCAATGCCGCCCTGCGCCACTCTGCGCGCCGGCCGGGCTGCGCAGGAGGAGCGCTCCGCCCGTCACCAGGCTGGAGCCCGCGCGGCAACACCTGTTCGCGGCCGCAGGGCGCACGCGATCTGCGGACACCGCTCTCTCGCTCGCCTCTGGCCGACTGCGCTGAACCAATGGACCTCCGCCGAGCCGCCGCAAGATTCCGGATTCCAGCTTTGGACGCCTAAAGTTTTTGTTTTTTTGTTTTATTATATTATTATTATTGCTTTTTTTGGAGGGGGGATCGGGAAGGGAGAGTCTTCAGCGCCACCAACGTGAGATTCCACCCCCCACCCCACCCCCGCCCTGGAAGGATTCCTGCTGATGTCTGCATAGTCGGTTAGAGTAAAAACGGCGCATGCCTTTCCCGGAGTCAGGACCCGTGGATTCTGACGTAGCCAGTGCATCTTAAAATCCTATAATAACGCCTAGGCATTGAAGTTGCCATGGCCATTCCGATCTGGAACCAAATGGAGAAACTACGAAATTCCCCCCGTACGACCGCCGGCTGAGATGCAGACCTTCCTGCCTTCTAGGAGCCGGGGCTCTGCCCATAGAGATGCATAGATGTGTTTATCAGTGTGTCGGCGTGTGAGTATACAACGCTGGTTTCTTTAGGCTATTAGTGGTTTGACCTTGAACCTGTACCAGTGAAACGGCAGATTACTTTTATTTATGCATTTCATGGATTGAAGAAAATAACGTATTTTTTTCCCCTCTCTGCAACCGCAGTAAGGGAGGGGAGTTGAATATACCTCGCCTAAGATTTCCCGGGTTGGCACCATCATTATTGTTTATCCTGTGCTCCAACAGCCCAGCCTTCTGATGGCTCCCTTAGGTGAAGTTGGGAACTATTTCGGTGTGCAGGATGCAGTACCGTTTGGAAATGTGCCGGTGTTGCCGGTGGACAGCCCGGTTTTGCTAAGTGACCACCTGGGTCAGTCCGAAGCAGGGGGGCTTCCCCGGGGACCGGCAGTCACGGATTTGGATCATTTAAAGGGGATTCTCAGGCGAAGGCAGCTCTACTGCAGGACTGGATTTCACTTGGAAATCTTCCCCAATGGTACTATCCAGGGAACCAGGAAAGACCACAGCCGATTCGGTAGGTATACCATTAACATTCTTGTGTCCACGCCATGATACGTTGGGATTATAACTACCAAGAAAGAGGTGGTCGGGGGCGGAGGGGGGGGGGTTGCAGGAAGGGTCTTTCCCTCTTTCTGCTTCATCTTGCCAGTTTAAAAAATAAATAAAATAAAAAGCCCCCGGAATTGCAGGTCTGCCACTGGCACCTATGCAAGTCTACATTGAAATGCTTTAAATTAAAAAAAAATTTTTTTTTTTTAAAGAAGGCCATTATTTATAAGCTCCTCATTCCTTTGAATCAGATACTCAGGAAAATCAGGTTTAGGAATTTGTTTTTGTTTTGGATGGACCAATCCCAGGAGTTTAAAGCTTTAATCATTAACTACCGAGAACTTAAAAATGCATTTCCTGAAGGTATGGTTTATTGTAATCTACTGCCCCAAATGAAGTTTTTGCTCCTTCCTCCTTTCTTCTAACAAGTATCCTACTTGAATTGTAAATGAAAGGTATTGATTCCCACCTTGAGGGTCTGAACCCCTTCTGCTAGGCTTACTAGCCGAATGTTCTTTTGAAGTCACATTAGATTTGGAAAGTGGCTGGACGCTCCCTGGGGTTGCTTGTCCTTCCAGCCATCAAATCACCACCGGTCTATAAGTGTGCAGCCGAGGTGGGGTTCCTGGTGGCTCTCTGGTGTGTGTGTCGCATGCAAAAGCTGAGAGCTAATTAAAAGGAGCATTCAGTTCTGAGGACTTCACTTCCTCAGGAGGGTACTTGTGACTCAGCATGGAGGCTACAAACTGAGGGCTGGTGACCATGCACCCCTTTTATTTCTGCGCACACGTGCTGGCTGGGCTACCCTGAGCCCAACAGACAGCCAGTCCAGGTGGGGGACTCTGCTCCCCCTCGTCCCCTGTACTTATAAAAAAAATTTAAAAATAAAGAAATAAAAAGCGCCAGTTCGGGCAACCAGGCTGTTGAAAGTTGATTTTTTTTAGTGGACCCACCTGACAACACTTAAAATGGGTCGTAAAAAACAAAGTCCCGCGGTGATTTTTCTCCCTCAAGCTTTCATGCCAGATGTAGACCACAATCTAAACTATCTGATTTAGGTTCAGGGGCTGTTGATGAGGCCAGAAGGCGAGCTGGAGTCAGGCCTGGGATGGGATGGCCTACCATTTTGCCCCTTTGCTCCCGGAGCCTCAGCCCCAAGCTGAACCTGCTAGTGCAAAAATTACTGGCTGTACAAAAAAAAAAAAAAAAAAAAAAAAAAAAAAAAAAAAAAAGTGGTAACTCCTGGCCTTGCAATTATTCGGTTGAAAAATACTTCTCAGCCTCCCACCCCGCTCCAGTGGATGCAAGCTCTGGTGGTTGCACAGCAGACTAAACTTTACAAGTGCTGCTCTGGGCCGCTGTGGGGGCTGCCGCCGTTCCTAGCGTTCACACCAAGACACTGGCGATGGGCGCCGAGGTTGGGACTGCTGGAGTGTCCGGGTCGCAGCCGCCGTCTGGGGTCGGGGCCGCGCCCCGGGGGCGAGCAGCTAGGGCCGGTGCCTTAGTGCGCCCCGCGGCGGAACGCGGTCCTCGCGCCGGGGGCCGGCAGGTGCCGGCTCTGCAGCCCCAGCCCCAGCCCCAGGCGCTTTCTGCGGTGGCCCGCCTGGCTCCGCGCGGTCCTAACGCGCTCCACGTCCGGCACCCTCTGCCCGGCTGGTGCGCCCTGCGTTGAGGTGGGGACTCCGGACTCATTTCTGGGGGCCACGGGCGGTGGCTTGCACACTTATGGCGGCATTTGGGTAACCAGGTTTTTGGCCCAAGTTGAGCCCCTTCGTTTCTTTGTGTGTATGGTCTGTGGGGCTGACAGCCGCCGCCCCAGCTGCGCGGTGGTTTTCGGTGTGAGAACCGCTGGAGGCGCGCGCCGCGGCGGGAGACTTGGTGCTGGGACTGAGGACCAGCTGGATATCGGAACCTGACACCTTGTTCCGTCGGGGATTTTTCTTCCTCTATAGAAAGCGTACAGGCGGGGCTCCTAGGCGCCTGGGAGGTGGGTCGGGGCTCGGGCCCTGCGAGTCCGGAGCGCGGGGGAAAGGTTGGGGGTGGGGGTGGGGGTGAGGCCAAAGGCCGGGCGGAACAATGGCAAGCTTAAGTGAACCGCTTCCCGGAGCCCAGCTTCTGGCCCGCGCTCCGCGGCCGGCTTTCCAGCGCCCGGGTGGGCCCGCTTCTCAGCGCGGAGAGCCCGGGGCCGCGGGCAGGGCCGGCCCGGTGGCATTGTGTGAACTGGCCGAGTCTGGCCCTGGAGGGACCCTCGGAACCCCCCTGTGCAGCACTGGTGGACCCGGCACAGAGAGATTATGGGATGTGCTAGTGGGGCTCGCACATACCCCGAGCTTATGATTCTTCTTATTATTTTAGCGCAGTCACTTTTAGGGTAGGACGTTTGCTACATGCAGTCGAGCCATTTGAAATTCAGTCATTGCCACTGGAAGAGTAGGATGCAAGGGAGGTAAGGTGGGGACTACGAGGGTGGAAAGGACCCCAAGGGCGCGTTAGCGGACAAGGACTGCTGGTATAGCTGCTGAATAAAGACCATAAAATAACAAAGTAGTCCTCGGCACTCCCCCTGCTTCCCCCATCCTGCAGGTGACATCTCTACTGTTTAGACTCGCTGGGCCGCGGTTGGCCGGGTTCGCAGGGATATTGTATGTGGGAGGGCGGGGTGGGGGGGGGGGCAAGGGGCCGGGAGGTATACGATCAGCGGGAGCCGGAGGAGGGGGAAGGGTGTGCCTGGCACTCTGCGGTATGGCTCTCTGGGGCTTGGATGAAGTTGAGTGGGTGGCTGTGCGCAGCGGAGGTGGGGAACAAGGACTATTTAAGTATTTCATCCGGTTGCAGTGAGAAAGGCCGCCGAGTTGACCGCAGTGCCACGGGCAGCTACCGCTAGGGCAGGTCCCAATATTAGCAACCTCTGCAGCTTGGTGAGCGAGCCGCGTGCCTCCTGCTCTTGCTGCGCAGTCGCGCCCGGAAGAGATCTGCGGCAGCGCTAGGACCCAGCGCAGGGTGGGCGGGAGCTGCGGGGGCGTGTCACACCAAGCACAGGGCTCCCACTTCTATGCCCCCCCCCCCCCCCCCCCCCCCCCCCCCCCCCGCTTCTCTCTGGAGAGGCATTCTTTACCCTCAGTGTCTTCTCACATTCCCTAGGAAAGAGCATTTAGTGGGGCAGGGGTGGGCTGGTTTACACCTTGATATATATAAAAGGTGCATCTCGCACCTGGAATGAACTACCAGAAGGAAAGTGACCTCCCTCCCCCACCCGCAGGTGACTGCGGCTTTGGGGGAGCCTGGCATTGACCCAGCAGGCAAGCGGGGGAGGGGGAGGAGAGTTGCAGTGGTGACAGGTTAGGTGGGACCTTGAGAGGGCCCTGTGCCTTTCCCTTTGAGGGTGGCAGTGCAGAGATAAGGAATTGGGAATTGTGTCTTTGGGATACAGGCTAGGAGAGTCAGACGTTTCATTTCCTGTCTTCTCTTTAAAGCATTTGCTAGGCAGAAAAAGGTGAGCAGAATATCAACTGAGAAAGTGGTCACGTAGAAGAATAAAAAAGTGTTGGGGCTTGATCCTCTATTTTACTTGCACTGGGAGGAAAACCTGAGCAGTTGACTCTGGCCTTGTTGGACAGATGGTCTGCTTCTCTGGGTGTGCCTTGTGGCCTGGTGTGGTGGCCCTGCAAGAATCCCAGATGAGCACCCTAACTGGGGCTGCACTTTAAAGGGGCCAGGAGTCAGGTGGAAGTTGTACTAAAGGGGAGAAATAGGGTAGCATGAGTTTGTTTTTTGTTTTTTTTTAAAAGAGGTTAAAGCAATTTCATTAAAAATACCTCACTAAGGGAAAGACTGTCTACTTAAGAAACTGTTTAGGACTGGTCCAGATTCTTGAAAAATTGGTGGGATTATAACTGCCATTTAGGCAGTCATCCTTTTTTTTTTTTTTTTTTTAATATATTTTTATTGGTTTCAAAGAGGAAGGGAGAGGGAGAGGTAGAAACATCAATGATAAGAGAGAATCATTGATTGGTTGTCTCCTGCATACTCCCTACTGTGGCTGGAGTTTGCAACCACAGGCATGTGCCCTGACAGGGGTATTGAATTGTGATCTCCTGGTTCATAGGTCAATGCTCAACCATTGAGCCACGCCCGACTGGGCTCAAGTAGTCATTTCTTAAGTAACTCTGAGATTTGCTCAAGTTGCTGCTGACTAGACTTTCTGAGATGCAGGCCCTGATATAAATGACTGGGTAGCCCTTGTATGGAGTTGCTGGCTGAGCAGCGAACTCTCTGTATTAGGGGGGTTAATCTGTTTTCAAAGCCTCATGTCATGCCTCTTTCCACAGCCTGCATACATCCTTGTCCTCTGAAGAATGCAGCTCTGTTAAGTATTGGGGGCTTTTAACTTAGAAGGCTGTTTAACATATGCCAGAGGGGAGCAGCCTCTGTCCACCATAATACTTCCTAGAGTTGACCTTGTTATGGCGTTGAAGGTGAGGCACAATATAGGGGACTCTGGGGAGCTAGGCCACCTTCTGAGTGTGCAGTGAGGATAAAGTTTTGGTGTGGTCTTTTTCCTAAAGTAGTCCCTGGAACTGACCTTGCCTCTTGTGGACTAGGGGTGACCTCGGACAGCATAAGACCATCTGGAAGCCAGTGCGTTCATCCTCATTGGGAACTGTTGGCTGCTGTGAAAGGGAACACCATGAAACTAGCCATGACCCTGTGTTTCCCATGTACCTCCATCAATATCCGTTACTTGAGGATGTCTAGGTTGTATCTGTTGAAAAGGAGAGATAGGCCACTATGGTGCACATATGATGGCAGTTTTTATTTTAAGGCCAATCTCATTCCTTCCTTCCCTCTCTTCCCCCTTTTCCCCCTCCTCTCCCCTCCCTCCCTTTCTTCTTCTTTTCCTTGCTCTTTCCTTTTTTTCCTCCTCTCCTGTTGATCATTAAGCATTTAAATGTTCCTACGTAGGAG